GTACTTCACATTGATCAGGCATCACCACCATAAAAACTGAAGTCTGTACTCAAACATGTTGTCAACCAACAAATAAAGTATTCATTCAAGGGGTGTGCCTTATCATCTTGTTCATGATAATACAAGTACAATTTTAATATGATATAAAAAAATTCATATTGTGATACTCACGATATTTTGACTTGTTGACATGTTGATGTCATACTGTTACCCATGGCAACAACAAGCATGGCTGAAAGCGAAATTATAACCAACTCTGTGGTGGCTCCAGAAAGAGGAGCAGCTGTGGAATAAACTGTGGCGTCCTTAGGCCTGGGAGTCCTGGATGTTTCATGAACAGCCCCGGACTTCTCAGACTCTTTTAGCGATTTACCGCTCAGAGGGAACTCATTCAGCGGCTCCTCCTCTGGCAGCAGCACAGTGTCTCTCCCTCTCCTCTCTCACCTTACGCACACGGAAATTGGTGTTGCCAAGTGATTTTGTCATAAACCTTTGGTAATGTAAACCTATGTGACTCTTGTGGCTCGACAAAAAAACTACATATATGTGAATGTGCAATAGTTATGGTAGCATAACAGCCTGTCACAGGTGACAATGTGATGATTAGAGGAGAAATCGCAGAGCATAAAGGTCCAGGTGGAAAACAATAACCAAACAACTCAATCATTTAGGATTTTGTTAAAAGAGAAGTGCCTGTCGGTTTATATATATACAGTACAGGCCAAAAGTTTGGACACACCTTCTCATTCAATGCGTTTTCTTTATTTTCATGACTATTCACATTGTAGATTCTCACTGAAGGCATCAAAACTATGAATGAACACATGTGGAGTTATGTACTTAACAAAAAAGGTGAAATAACTGAAAACATGTTTTATATTCTAGTTTCTTCAAAATAGCCACTCTTTGCTCTGATTACTGCTTTGCACACTCTTGGCATTCTCTCCATGAGCTTCAAGAGGTAGTCACCTGAAATGGTTTTCCAACAGTCTTGAAGGAGTTCCCAGAGGTGTTTAGCACTTGTTGGCCCCTTTGCCTTCACTCTGCGGTCCAGCTCACCCCAAACCATCTC